TCTGTCATTTGAAATCATACTAGTCTCACTAATGCTCGACTGCTTAGGCTTCCCGAAATAAGTAATCAGAGACGCTGCTCTCATTAGTGTGAGGTGCACCCTATTAAGTGTGCTTCGCGGGGCCAGGACAGCGTCAGGCGCGGCCGCGGCGCATCGCGACTCGCACTTGGTTGTTGTCATCGCCTCCTGGAGTCGTCATGTCGTCTGGTGAGTGGAAGCACTGCCATGTGCTGCATGATAGTATGACATCCAGGGGTCAGGGCTAGCCAGTCACAGTTGCGGCGTCAAGTTACCAATATTGTCGGCGAGGATAAAGCGTAACTGGCGTAGGGAGGAGGGTGTTCGCGCGGAGCCCAGCGTGGTCGGCCTGGCAGGAGAGGCGTCGGGCCCCTCGTCTCTGCCTCTCGGGCCTCCCCGCCAGAAATCGGGGGGGAGGCACGGGCCCGGAGAATGTCATCCTGTCGAATTATGTTGGTTAGGATACTTGAAGAATTGTTTGGGCGTTGTAGCATTAAGGAATGGAGTGGATGGAGGTTTCTACTTGTCTGGGTTGCTATCGGTAGGCCTAGAGGCCAACCTGGGGGACCAAGGGGTGGAAGGAGGCTCTCGTTTAGGCTATGATACACCTGATAGTATGTAACTATTTATGATAAAAAGGTATTTGTAGGGTTTGAGGTAAAAATATGAGGTAATATAGGTGATTGTATAACTATTAGTGTCCTTGAAATTTTTGTCAGATATGAGGGTTTAAGGCCAAAGGAGTGAAGCTGAGCAGTAGCTCATGTGCAGAAATTAAAACTTTTAAAGAATAATAAAGGAATTTTCTTTATTTTTCAATAATACAGTATAAGGTGTTTCAGTATGACATTCAGTATATTTGATTATTTAATAGAATTTTCATGTCAGTGGTCTACAGTCCTGTATAATGTAGTTTACTTGCACATGGTTAGTAACATTAAGTTCTCAATTTTTTTTTTTCTTTATTCCATTAAAAGTTGAGAAGACTTTTTCACATTTGGTATGAGTCTCCTGTCGTTCAGTGCATCCTTCATAGTAGTTGGTATTGAAGAAAAGGCAAACAAAACTGTACCATACACATTCTGGCAAGATAGAGTTGGTATGTCTCCATGGTAATTTATTATTCAAGATAGAGCTAGTTCAAGCTACAAATTATGAGACTATACTCTTAGGAAACTACTTAAACTTTACTGGAAAGAGGTAACGATAATTGTTTGACATTGCACCTCTTGTCAATTTGGCCTCCAATTTTGAGGTAACAGCTACACTCAAGTGAAATTGGATATATCATACGAAATATGATTCAATGAGAGAGAGAAAAATTAAAAGCAACTAGGTGTGTCTTGCAAATCACTCACGATTATTTTCATTATCTTAAGTTTAATATGTATTCTTTTCCTCCCATTCTCTGATTTAAGTATAGAAATGAATTTGGTTGCAAGATCATAAAAGGAAATTATCTTCATGAATACCATTGACGTAGAGAGACTGACTTTAAAGATTGTTTGTATATGGCTATTCTTGGTAGGCAGTACCTTAGTTTCCTTTTGTGCACTTCATGATTCATAGAATTCTAAAATTAAAACATTACTAGAAATATATAATCAATATTCATTTTCACAGATATTGAAAAGTATGGTAATTCTAATAAACATAGCCACACCTATTTTTAAATATTTTTTCTCATAACCCCCTTCCCCAGGAGCATTTCCCCATTGGGGGCAAAACACACACACACACTACCATAGGGTATTTCCCCAAGAGGGCAAGCCCCTCGGCTCTTTTTATTTGGGGCATTTCCCTACCAAGGGCAAGTACTTGACCTTCCTCTGGCGTATTCTCCTACTGAAGGCAAGCCCCTGGACCTTCCCTCCCCTGGGATATTTAGCTCACCTTTTGATTGATCACATGGGAAGTCTTATTTTTTAAAATTGGATCTTCACTCATTGTTTCTATCAAAAAAGGAAAATTAAAATACTTATAGGAAAGTAAAATATGGATGAAGACAGATATGAAAATAACTCTGGTTAAAGAATATTCATTACTAGTGCATTAGTACCCAGGGCCATCATGCCCTTCCTAGGAAGCTCGCTATATTGTTTACATTTGAAATGCTTTGAGATAATAAAGTTTCCTTGGGTATGCAACCTTTGAACTTTAATAAAAACACAATTGGTTAGGTTCCACATCTATGAACACTAGCCTCTAGGCCTATGATATTTTCATGAATGTATTTAGTGCAGCCATCTTAGTATTGCCACACATATGACTAACCTCAGTGATACCATATTATTATATGTTATTGTCATAGTTAAATACTTCATATCATATGATTTGTATTATTCATTTTTCTGCCTTTATAGAGGTTAAAGGAAATGTCAGAACACTTGCCATGATAAAAAATCAAGTTTGCAATTGAGGTCATTGTAGAAAGTAAAGTGTGCAGAGTATTCTTCTCAAGAGGAAGTACCAACATTCTTCT